AAATGGCTTCTCGCCCTATGACGGGCCCCCTCAGACTCTGAGCGAGAGTCGGCGGAGTATGATTTCCTCTACGTGAAGGGGGATGACAAGAAGAGAATTCTTCAATTCCTTTTACCCTCAAAGAAAATCTTTGATGTAGAGAAGTTGGGTTGTCCAAGCCTCAAAAATTCCCCAAAGGGCCTGGACACCTTGCCAAAATGATACCGTAGGCTCTCACACTCCAAAACTTGTGCTGCGCGCAATGCAAAGCGAGGGGGTTTTGTGGATGCAAGTGTATCTCAACTCACCTCGATGAGGAGCACTGAAAGAAAAAACTGAAAACAAAAAAAATCAAAAATGAAAAAACTCCCTAAAATAAAGCCAATGATATCCGTCTGATTAGGCGCTTCGGGAGACAGCAAGCAGGCCCGATGGGTGACCTGGGGACAGAGCGCAGGGGTCTCCCAGCGGCGCGCGGCGCGGCACGGAGCGCGGGGGGCCCGGGCCCTACCTCACAGGCGCTCCGCCTCCTCCGTTAAGCGCCCCCACGCGCCTCACAGTCCTGATCCCCCCGAACGTCCTCCAGGGGTAAAGGGTAGGTTAGGCCCACCCCCTAGCTTAGGTTAGGTTGGGTTAGAGCCCTCATCTTCACCCCAAAAAAAAAATCCGCAAAAAATGACAAAAAATTTTTCCCAAAAATTTAGGTTGGGTTGGTTACACCCTCTCAGGACCCCCCCCACCCCCTATGTTATTTGGGGGGGTGAACAGGCCCGTTACCAGGGGGTATGTGTACTACTCTCGGATGACGGCCCGGATGGTCCCCCCGCTGCACTCCCTGACGAGGGCCCTCGGGGGCCGCTGTGTCATCCGTTCACATGAACGGACAAAATTACATTAAAGATTATAGATTTAAATTTTTTTTCCTAAGTTTACCTGCTTTTTTCCTAATTTGAATGCGATTTTTTTTGGAGGGGGGCGTCGCCCAATTTTCCAAAGCCCCTAGGGGAACGGGGGAAATGTGTGTCGGTTCGCTTGGAGCGCCTGATGGGTAGGCAACCCGCGGGGCCCAGCGCGGCGCGGCACGAGGCTGCCTTCTGGAAGGGGCGCTAGACCCTCTGGAACTGGGTCCGGAGCCAGGGTCGATCGGGGAAGGGCCCCAGGGTGCCCAGCCAAACTGGGGGGGCTAAAATACCGTTTTACAGTGAAGTGGGGTGTTCGAGCTCCCGGAAATGATTCGTTCTCGAGAACGGCGCAAAACGTATTTTGTGGTTGACTGTTTCGATTAGAGGAGGGGCTAAGCTAAGTTCTAAGCCAACGGGAGCCAAATTTGGTTAAGGTATTTGGGAAAACTGTGCAAATTTTAAAACTTCGAAAAAGTTTGAAAGTAAAAAAAATTTTCAAAACAAAAATTTTTTTTTCACTAGAAATTTCGATTTTTCTTCCCCTTTCCAAATTTGGTCTCGGATTATGTCTACGATGCATATTAGCGACGCTATAAACCTTCAAATTTTGCACTGGTGCAGCAATTTGAAAAAAAATTTTTTTTGCTATATCTCAGCTCCTGGGGCTACATTCGAAAAACTTTGTACCGGTCTTGAACTAGTACCATGGGGGTAACAAACCCTGAAAAGAAGAATCAATTCGGTGACCATGGTGGCAGAGGCCTTGTCGACTTTACGTGGAATGACCCAGCACACACTCGCACTAAATGTTTTGAACAAGTTTTGTAAGAGACGTCAGTTTTATGTGCACACGAAATTTCACCCCGACTAGCTATGGACATTTTTGATACCAGTTACTGACAGTTTCGTACCCATGGAGGAAACGTTTTTATACTTTTACCAAATGGCGAAAAATTCATCCCGAAACCGTAGACAAATTTGTCCATATATTTTTGGAAGCATTATTGCATTAAACTAAGAGCAAAATTGTTCACAGATTTTGGAAAAATATGTCCCGCGTAAAAAGGTTCAAAAAAGAAAGTCCATAAAAAAAGTCTGTATAGATAATGGACCAAATATATCCTTACCCACACTAAAACCAAACTGTCTACTTGGTCCACACTTACAATTGCATGCTTGCAAGTACACACAAACGCATGCATGGCCAAGTACATACTTACAAACGCGCTTGGCGCCGTATACCGAGCTCCATGCTAAGCTTAGGTGTTTGTTTGTAAGTGTGTGATCACTCGCCTATCGTCTATTGGCGACTTTAGGCCAAGTAAACCGAAAATGTTCAATTTCGTTCAACTTTTAACGGCCCAGGACTAGCACTAAATATTGCCCCCATTTCGATGAAAATTTTAAATGTAGCCTCCTGACACCAAAAGGAAACAGAAAATCGGGTGCCCAAACAAAAGTTCGAAAATAAAAATTCCGCCATACACGTAAGGACCACCCTAATGTAGAATCAGAACCAACTGACCGATTTTGACGAAACTTGAACTAATGTCAAGTGAAAACTCTCCACTTTAGGGGTAAACCTGTATTGAGCCAAGATTGGTGGTCTCCTGCACTGTCCCAAAAGTAAGTTTTAAAACGACCAAGCCTTGTGGGTTCGACAAAATAATTTTGTTATTTCAGGGGGGCACAAAATTTTAGTCGAATCGACGTGGCCTGTTTCGACCGCGTTTTCCCCGTTTGAATCTTAAAGTTGGCAATTTGACGAAATTTTTTGTTGAAATTTTGACGAAGAGATTTCGTCGGTCCGATTTGGGCGCTGACTGTTACTCCATGCTTTCGACGTCATCGCCTCCGGCGTGTTGATGACGTTTTCTTAGTTTTGGTTTGAATCGAAGAGGCAGTCGTTATATTAACATTACGAAGGGTAAAGGGGTTCCTGATTGGCTCTTCTAAGCCATGTGACGGCTTGTTTGAAAACAAACGCATGGACATTAGTTTTCATAACAAAAGAACCTGGCGACAAAAGTTTCGCCACTTTATGACTCCGAAGATAAAAATTCAAGCCATTGCGGATCAAAAAACGATATCGGCAAGTCAATACAAAATTTTTCGGATATTCCCCTGATGAAATTTATTTTTCCAAAAGAGTAAGGTTGCAGAGATATATACGGATTTTATTTAGGCGACGACGCTGATTCAACATATCTGACTACATATTCTTGCAGGTAAACCAGCAAACAGGATCGAACGGGTATATCAAATCGACAAATCACTCGTTTCCCTTTAATTGTTCACCCCTTTTGTGCGAAATAAAGTCGGTTGAAGCGATAAATCGGTCGGGAAACGGGTGTATTCCGTCAAAAATAACCACACTCTCCCGAGGAAATTTTGCCTCAGCAAATTGTGGTGTTGTAGCTGACTTTCTCTCATGCACGTTATTAAAAATATCAAGGTAAAGGGTGTGATCTGTCAATCCGAAATGCCCGTTTCATGCCAAATGCTGAAATTAAATTAATCACACGGGAAATGTGAGGGGGACTGAGCCGAGTCGTAGCGTCAACAGAATCCGCTTTTATCTGAGCAATCCTTTTCTTTTTTTTTACTTATAAAAAATGAATTTGTCCCTGAGCTTTTAGATTACACTGAATATCTATCGTAAGTTAATTTGGGCTGATCTGCGATTTATTGATAATACTTAGTGCTGTCAGATGCAGTCTGACGTCAAAGTATGAGAAATTGGCCCATCGACTAAATCTTCGTCAAATCGACTAAACTAAATTATTGGTAACATTGAATAAGACAAATTCGTCGATTCAACTTTACTTTTGGGACAGTGTGGTTCGAAATCGCAATTCTTTTCGTTGTACTTTTTTTTTCCCGGGGTTTATTTTTCTTCCCCTTTTTCGAGAGTTCCGAAATCACATATATTTTGGCACGTTGTACGAAATGTGGGGAACTATAATCATGAACAGTGATCCATTTCATTGGGAAAGGCTTTGGATTACAAGTTCACGAGAGCAGAATAGTTGAATCCTCATTTGGAACTTCTGTACAGTGCAAAGTACGCGTTTTGTACTTTTCTTCCCCAACTTACCCCTAGCGTTTGGATTCTCAGTGTTGCTGACTTGTATCGTCACGTTTCCTGCTATTTTAGTCTTCACGATATGTACTCTGTCATTTGTTTTCTCTGTTTGGGCAGGAAGGGGGTGTCGTAATCAAATGATATCCGGAGTGAACAGCGACGAAAAATACTTCAGGATGCTGGATCATCTGAGTTTGTGGGGAAAAACATACCACCTAGTTGAGTCAGCAGCGTTTTTTTTTCCCTACCCCACGTTACGAATGCCTTGCGGGAGAATCGATTTCAGGGAAAAACATAAATTTTGTTTTCAGACTATATGCCTCTTTTTCATTCCACAAAACGAGTGCTTAATAAACTTCCGCACACTGGTTAAACTAAGGTTTAACTCTACTCTTGAGTCAAGCATTGAGTTACGCTTGCACACTAAATTACTTTTTTCTGCGCGTGAATGCACGAAATTAAACATGCACTTTGTAACGCACGAATTTGTGCGCGACAATGCACGATTTCCTGCGCAAGTATGCAGAAAAACGTGCATTGTCGCGGGCATATTTGTATGTTATGAAGTGCATGTTTAAAATTTGGGCATTAGCGCGCAGAAAAAACCCACAGAGTGATTTAGGTGTGAAGGCCTTATGCTTGAACTGAACATACTTTTGGGAAAATTTCCCCCCGCATTTAGGGGGACTGTTGGCGGATGACCGGTTTAAAATTGATTCCAATTGTTAACTGGTTACCCTAGAAAACAGAGGGTAATACTACGCCTTAGTTTCACCAGTGGACGGAGTTTTCATTTTACAATTTTCGCACTTTACGACGCCCAGGAAACTGTGCACGCCTTGCCCGGAAATTTTTCAGTCGAAGGCGTTACCAGATGCTCTCTTCTTGCAGTTTGTTCACTGATGAAATTGTGAGGGGCCAGACATCTCAACCGCCGGCGTACTTGAGTCACGTGTCATCTGGGGGGAGCATTGCACATCTACGCGCCGATGTCGTGCGGGGGCTCAACGAATCGCAGGCAGCTGCCTTCGAGAGCGTCCTTCAGAGGCGAGTCGCCCTAGTGCAAGGACCTCCGGGTACAGGGAAAACGTACCTCGGATGCAAAGTGAGTTCGAATCCACTGAGATTACAAACGCTATGAGTATAGCACGTATGGTGCAATACACACTGAGAATGAAAAAGTCATGATCAATACCCAATGTTGGGCGAGGTTTACTTTCTCACCCAAATTTGGGCGAGGAAACATTCCTCGCCCAATTTGGGCGAGGAAAATTTCCTCACCCAAAATTTTAGTCATGATCATGACTCCTTCATTCTCAGTGCAGCTGAGATATCGCACCGCACGTTCAATGCCTCAGTCATATTGCACCTTACGTGCAATGCATCCCGAAAATGCCCTATGCTAATGCATGGGACTGGGGAGGCATTGCACTTCATGTGCAATGCTTTTGCATTGCACCAATTAACGCTATACTCATAGCGTTAGGATTCTCAGTGTCCCCATTATTCACGTGTACAAGGCGTAACACTGAGAATTCAACCGCGATGAATATAGCGTCATTGGTGCACTGCAAAAGTATTGCACATGAAGTGCAATGCCTTCCCATTTCCATGTATTAGCATAGGGCCTTTTCGGGACGCATTGCACGTAAGGTGCAATATGGCTGAGGCATTGCACGTATGGTGCGATATCTCAGTGCATTGCACCATTCGTGCTATACTCATGGCGTTTGGAAATCTCAGTGAACGTTGCCACTGGTATTTCTAATGTAATAAGTTTCATGCAATTTTGCTGCGATAAAAAGGCTAGTGTGATTCCTTCAAATTATCGCATGAAGTATCGCGCCTGGAGTGCTGAAAGGGCATTCAATCGCCCCATCAGTACATGGATTGTATAGCGTAACTTCTTTTCTTGTTTGCAGATTGCTGAGTATTTTGTCAGCCTCAAAGGCACGAACCCAAATGTATTCAGAGGCCCCATATTAGTGGTGACAACAACAAATCATGCAGTCCATGAGTTCCTGAGTCGCTGTCTGCTGTTTACAAATAAGGTTCGTAAAATTTCACACTGTATTCATTTATTGCAAGTGTCCGAGGTGAAAAATATCACTCAAGGGGCACCTTACGCCGAATTACGTACTGCTGCGCCCCTACACTCGCCATTCACCCTCCCTCACGCACTCCCACTTTCCCCTCTTAACCTCAACTATGTCCTCTGTTCCGCTAACCCCTCCGTTGTCCACCGCCCTGATAGTCTCCTTCACACTAAATTCTTGTGGACTTTTTAAATGCATAAGGACGCATTTTTTATGCATAGTTATGCATGCGCAGAAACGTCCATAAGGTATGTATAAAATTATGCATCACTGTGTACATTTTATGCATCTTCCTGCATAAAATGTACACAGTGATGCATAATATTATACGTTACATATGGACGTTTCTGCGCATGCATAACTATGCATAAAAAAGTCCACAAGAATTTAGTGTATTGCACCCCGAGCCTCCCCCTATAATATAGCTATCACACTTACCTGGACACTCCCTGAATTCGCCCCCTCTGCCACAGCTGAGACTGCACTCATACAAACTCACGAAGATCGTGTACTCTCGCCAACAAAGGGCCATGCAGAAAATCTTGTCTTCAAAGAGGCGATAAGCTAATGTATAGCCAAAATTTGGCAATAAACTTTGAACAAATTCAAGGGGGTATCTTCAATGTTTATTCCAGATTTTGGCAATACCCCTGGTAGAACTTGGATGTGGTTGGAGATCGGATTTCACATCCAAAGTCGTCCATTTTCTTCCATAGACATCCAAATTCATCCATTTTCCTCCATTTTCATCCACTGACATCCAATCACATCCATACACGTCCATACATATCAACGGACTTCCGAGTGACATCCACTCACGTCCAACGACAGCCGCCCACCTCCCAGCCACATCCTTTCTCGTCCATGGACATCCACTAGCTTCCTTACCACATCCACACACGTCCAAAGACATCCGCTGACTTCCGAGTGACATCCACTCACGTCCATCCACATCCACACCTTCCCCGCCACATCCATACTCGTCCAAGAACATCCACTGTCTACTCATCCACATCCACGCACGTCCAATGACATCCACCAACTTCCAAACGACTTCCACTTACGTCCAACGACATCCACCTATTCCGCGGCCACATCCAATCTCATCCAACGACATCCACTGCCTTCCCAGCCACATCCACAAACGTCTAATGATATCCACTGACTTCCGTGGGTCATCCGCTCGTCTCCAACGACATCCATTTGAGTCAATGAGCTTTACTTCCAAACGACATCCTTTTGCATCAACCGACATCCAGCCACGACCAAAAACCTGACATCCATTCCTGTCCACCATCATCCATTCATATCCAAACGACGAACATTCACATCCAAATGACATCCATTTTCATCCATTCACATCCATTCCCATCCAAATGACCTCCATTTCCATCCACTCATTTCCATTCACATCCAAATGACATCCATTTTTATCCATCCACATCCAAATGACATCCATTCACATCCATTTTCATACATTCACATCAGAATGACCTCCATTCACATCCAAACGACCTCCATTCACATCCATTCACATCCAAAAGACATACATTCACATCAATTCCATTTACATCCAAATGACATCAATTTTCACCCATTCACAACCAAATGACATCCATTGGCATCCATTCACATCCATTCACATCCATTGTCATCCATTCACATCCAAATGACATCCATTTTCATCCATTCACATCCAAATGACATTCAAATCATATCCATTCACATCCAAATAGCATCCATGTCACTTGGATGTCATTCGGATGTGAATGGATGTAAATGGATGTCATTTGGATGTGAATGGATGAGAATGGATGTCATTTGGATGTGAATGGATGTGGATGGATGTCATTTGGATGTGAATAGATGTGAATGGATATCATTTGGATGGGAATGGATGTGAGTGGATGAGAATGGATGTCATTTGGATGTGAATGGATGTGAGTGGATGGGAATGGATGTCATTTAGATGTGAATGGATGTGAATGGATGTGAGTAGATGTCATTTTGATGTGAATGGATGTGAGTAGACGAAAATGGATGTAAATGGATGAGAATGGAGGTCATTTGGATGTGAGTGGATGTCATTTGGATGTGAATGGATGTCATTTGGATGTGGAATGTATGTCATTTGGATGTGAATGTTTGTGAGTGGCTGAGAATGGATGTCATTTGGATGTGAATGGATTAGAATGGATGTGACTGGAAAAGTATGGATGTCGTTTGGACGTGGTTGTTGCTGGGATGCAAAGATATGGCATTTGGATGCATATGGATGACGATGGATTTAAATGGATGACGGTCGTTGAGAATGTATGTCGGTGATGTGAGCGCCCGAACATTCATAGTGTGAGGATGAGGTTTATGGAGCCGCCGCCAGATGGCGTTGTGCTCAACGTGCCGTTGTTCGTTCTCGGTTCCAGTGTTGGTTGATTTTTTAACTAGGCTGTGGGACAGTTTTGCGATCATTCATCATACATGGTCCTTTCGGCCTTTGCGCCTAACGGTCGTTTAGGTTTAGAAACTTCCTCCACAGGATACCATTTGGATGTGAATGGATGTCGATGGACGATGAGATTAGACGTCATATGGACGTTAAGGTGAGGTGTGGGTGAAAATTTGCACCAAAATTGATTAAAATGATATATTTAATCTACTTGTTATTTTAATGTAAAATACTCTTCTATTACAAACAGCATGGCCTAAAGGTCTTTGTTATGAACCCCTAAGTGAGTGGTTCATCTAACATGGACTGATATATGCATGCGCCTTTTCTGGTCACCCAACTCTTACGACAAGTGTCGAAGAAATTTTTTTTCTACTCCGTCAATTAGCCACGCATACAGTTTTGTTTTATACTGACCATACTTCTTGGAGTAGTTCTTTGTGGTCCATGTGACAATGTAACAGAGAGATATTTCAAATGTCTATCCACTTTCTTATATCGTTTACCTTAAAGTGGTAAAAAATGGAGAAAAAAACTTATTTTTTCAAATTAAAAAATTGTGAAGTTTGCTCAGTCAAAACCAAAAAATAAAATTCAAATATCTCTCTGTTACGTTGAAGTATTGGGGTTTAGGTAACGCCAAAACAAATTTCAGACCATTCCGTCAAAAAACTTTGCGTGGCTGATTTTTCTACTAAACGCTTAATTTCAATGAAAAAAGCCTACTGTGGCTAAATGGGTGGGTAGATTTGGATGAAATTTGGAGTGTAATAGTTTCCTACCTAGTACTTTAACGCCCTAAAGTTTCAACCAGCACAGCCAAGTGGTATAGAAATTTCCATTTTCACCCACACCTCACCTTAATGGTTGACAGTGTATGAGAATGGATGTCATTTGGATGTGAGTGGATGTTGGTGGATGAGAATGGATGTCATATGGACGATAATGGGTGACGGAAAAGGAGAATGGATGTCAACTGGATGTCTGGATGAGAATGGATGTCTTTTGGATGTTAATGGATGTAGGTGGAAGAGCTCGGATGTCGTTTGGGTGTGAATGGATGACGATGGATGAGAATGGATGTCAAATGGAGGTAAATGGATGATGTTGAATGAGAATGGATGTCATTTGGATGTGATTGGATGTCGATGGATGAGAATGGGTGTCATTTGGATGTGATTGGATGAGAGTGGATGTGAATGGATGTCATTTGGATGTGAATGGATGACGATGGATGTCATTTCGATGTGAATGGATGCCGATGGATGAGCATGGATGCAGGTGGATGCAAACGGATGACAGTGGAGGTCGTTACTGGATATGGATGTTGGTGGATCTGAATGGATGTGGCTGGGCTGTCAGGGAACGTCGTTGGATGTGAATGGATGACGTTTGGATGTCGCTTGCATGTCGGTGGATGTGGTAGGACCATTTTGGATGTGAGGAGCTGACATCCAGGGACTTCCAGAATGAAACATTCGGGATGTCCGTGGATGTCAGCGGAACATCCTGGATGACCCTGGATGTCTAGAATACGACATCCAAAGTCATCCATAAATTCCCACCAGGGACTTCTGCGTATTTCCGTTTTGATGGCAGGATTTTTCGGTAAAGCCGTTTGTTGGCGATACTCAATTTTTCTCGCCAAAAAAGATACTTCAGTATAGCCTTTGGATTTGCAGTGTTTAGTCCCGTGAATAATGCAATTTCAGGCACATCCGACGGTGATTTAATTGTGTGTTTGCCAAGCGGATCAAATTGTCTAATGAAAATTCAATTAGCAGTAGGCTTCGGCATCACCGTCGCATGTGCTTAAAATTACACAACACTTGTGGCAAAAAATGTCTCACGATGACGGTATTCAGAGTAGACATTACTTTTTTTGGTCGGCTTTCAGCTTATTCATGGCTACAGCGACAAGCATGGAAGATCGCAGTACGGTGAACTTCAAGAGACTTATGATGAATCCAGCCAACATGAGAAAACCGACATCATGCGGGAGGCGGACATACTCGCTATGACCACCACCAGGGCGGCTTACATGCGTTCTACGCTGGACCTTTTGGGAATAAACATTGGTGAGCGTTCTCATTTAACATTGGCGAACCGATAGCGTCGTGTGAAACAAACTCCTGAAAGCGATTGATCGGCTTGAGAAGTTGCGGGGATGAGTCTTAATTAAGGTCCTTATCCTTGTGGCCGAATTTTCTGAGTGTGTACTGAGTACACTCTATATGTCATAGCACACTTTTTGTCCATCGGACGCGCTTGAAACTGCGTCAGCCATGACACATGTAAAGTCCCATGTCATTTCGTGTACACATGTACGCATGGGCACATAAGTACACATTTAAGTTTTTCAGCGAACTTTCTCAGTGTGCAACAGGTGGGTGCAGGGTCTGCGGCCGCAGACCCTAATTTGGGGTGGGTGGGTGGTCGCGGTGGTGGGTGAGGGAAGGGGAAAAGAGAAAGGGAAAGGGAAAAAAAAGGAAAGGAGAGGAAGAAAAGGAAAGAAGGAAAGGGAAAAAGAAGAGAAGGAGAAAGAGGGAGAGGAGAATTACTTGTGCCTTCTTTACAGCTGCGATAGGTACAAGGGTTAAACAGTGGGGGAGGGTGCCAGCTGCGGTATGGCTCATTGGCTTATCATCGTCTAGTTCATGACTACAAATTAATATGGGTTCTTTCGTTAGAATCTGGCATCTGTGGTGAGCCAACCGGAGTCGCGAGCCTTGACACCATCACCATCTTTCCGTGTGGTTTTTAATGAGTGAGGTGTCCTCGTGGTTAAGCGTTGAATATGCGTTCGTGATCGCTTAGGTTTCGCATTGAAGTGCGGAAACCACAGCAATGACTTGGCGCAAAGATTGGATTGGGATTGAAGCGTGTTTGCTCGCTCTCACAATCCAATTCATGCACCTTCAAACGCATGTGCAACGGCTGAGTTAGTTTGAGGAAGCACCTCACCTCGGCATAAAACCAGTCACAGTAATTTAGTGTCAGTGTCGCCATCCGATTGTCCGTTGCGGCCGAGCAACGCGAGCCACGCTTTCCGTAGTCGTGGTGTGCCGTTCCGTTGCGGCGGCGGCGGCAGTGAACAGTGACCGAGGACCCTACCGCGATCACCCGGCGAGCGTGCATCCGTTTCGCGTTCCGCTTCTCGGCAGTTAATAATGGCCATGCGAGTGTGTCCGAAGTGCGGGCGGAGCCTTCAAGGACTGAACATGACGAATAGGGATCGTCATGTTCAGTCCTGCAAGGGCAAGAAGCCTCAGCCGCAGAGTCGCTCAGTCCTTTCGTATTTCACGAAGACGAAGACTGCATCACCATCGTCTTCGGCCGGGTTCAGCGTGCCTCCCTCCTCTTCTTCGGCTGATCCAAGCAAAGCATCGGTTGCTTCGAAGCAACCGAGACTTCACGATGGTAAGTAGATATTTGTCACCCTGCCACAGCAAAGGGTATTTCCATTCCGCGCTCTCCCAGAACGGAAGTAAAATGAACAAAACCGGAAGTTAGAAATAGCAGTTTAGATTGAATGAGAAATTCAGGTGGCGGATAAGCTTAAGCTTCTAGTAGTTTTCTCATTTTAACTGCCATTTTTAACTTCCGGTTTTGTTCTTACTTCCGTTCTAAGTGCACGTGTGCAAGAATTCTCTATTACCGTGATGTGTGGGCAATTAATTCCTCATCGGGTGATGTCAACACAACAAAATTGTGCAAAGTACGATTAGCTAGCACTGCTGTATACAGGGACCTGATGTAAAATGAACGAAACCGGAAGTCGGAGATTAACTCTGATCTGACTTGACGGACCAGTGATGTGACTATACCAAGAGATCAGTTTTGACTGATTTTTTTTAAACTTCCGGTTTTGGTTTTAAGTTGCGCCAGCCTTCAGCTTGCACCGTGTTTATTTATTGCAATATCACGTCGAAATGTATTTCAATAGCCGGGGACAGTGCTCAATGTCGTACTTTATTCGTAGCTTTCACGGTAAAAACGGTACCTGGTTTTCCCAGGAAGCCCAGCCCATGGTAGAGACATAGGCGATTTCCAGCGTGTTCCTGGGAAAAGCAGGAAGGAACCGTTTTTACCGTTACCGTGTTAATATCGGAAGTAAGATGTTCTAAACGGAAGTCTGTTAAACTTTCTCGCCCGCGCCAAGCTGAAGTGCGAGTGCACCAAGTGCATTTAGCTTAAGATTAAGGCTTTGTCAATGGTATTACACATGATTTAATGTTTATTCTTATTTCACTAGGAGTTTGCGTGGAGGATGTACACCCGGACCCTGGAGATTTCTTGGACGTCCAACTTACGATCCACGGCCATGACGACGGCCGCGGCCAGGCGATCATCATCAACACGGAGATGCGGAATGGAGACGAGCTGTCGCATTCTCTTGTGACCTCAAATGCCGCTGATTTGCCCGTCAACACTTCCGCTCCCGCTCCCACTGTTCATGTTGCATCAGGTACGCATGGTTACAGATTCGATCTCGATCTGCTTATTTTCTTAAAGTCTGCCTGCACTCTTCTTGCACGGAACATAACTACAATTTTCAATTCTACTAGAGTTTGTGGGAAATCCTAGAAATTCATGCGAAGTCGATCGAAGTACGAACGCTACTCAAGTTCAAATTTACTGTTTTGAAATCAAACTGTTAACCAATCTGTAATAACCAGTCCACTCAGTCTAATTTAATTTGAGACGAAAAGAAAACTAGTGCTCCTTAAGTGCTGAAATTAGGGGATGGTTGTAGCAGATTGTTGTGTTAACTGAAAAATTCCGCTCTAGGGTGCGATAAATCGTTAAAATGGAAATCTCGGTCATAATAAAAATAAAAAAGGACCCTAATCTGGTGCAAAATGAATCGTTTCCTTTGTTTGTTCGTCATCCTTGGTCTTAATTGGCTTTTCATCTTTATTTTAGGCGTTGTACCTGGAGAATCAGAGTCACGACCACGCCTGTTCTCACCTGTATCATCTGAAGGATATGAAACCAATGAAGATGATCCTCCTCCAGTTGACAGCTGTAATGGTTCTCCAGAGACTTCCTTTCAGCTTCGGATGAGTTCAGGTACCCCTCTTCGCTGTCCACACTAAATGTTTATGTAGAATTTTGTACGTGCCACTTGCAAGATTTTGTGCATGCGGGGGAATTTGCATAATATTATGCGTGAAAATGCATAAATTTATGCAAATTCACGCACAATTTTATGCACGACGGAACACAAGTTTAAAATTATGCATCACCATGTACCACGTACAAAATTGAACATAAACATTTAGTGTGTCCTGATGTTTTGTGGTGTGCTTGTTATAACAATTCTTCTTTTCTAATATACGTTTTCCATGTGCGTTCTAAATAGGTTCCGATGATGACGATTCGGACTGCACACTAGCAGCCCATCAAGCAATGCGGAGCGACGACGCGAGCAGTGACGACGACGTAATTGCTGAGGCTGACAAGGATGTTGATTCTTCATTCGGTCAGAAGAAACACGTTGGCTACAATGCGGCTCAGTTCCCCAACGACCCTGCGTTTTACAGGAGAAAGGTGACTTTCTCACCTGAAGAAGTTGCCCAGTTCATCGATGGTGAACCATGCCAGCCCAGGGAGAGTCAGCTTCTTGGAGGTAAATTTCCCAAGGACAAGAGAGGTCGACACTTTAGCGCTGCTTGGTATTCACGCACTGATGCGTCGGGGAACCTCCAACCTCGCGACTGGCTGCAGTATTCACCTTCATAGGATAAGGCTTTTTGCTCCACATGTATTGTTTTCGGAAAGAAACATCATGAAGACGAATCACATGTCGCAAGGGGCGTCTGGACATCTAAAGGTTTTTGCAACTGGTCTAAAGGCAGTATCAAAATTCTAGAGCATGAATCTTCGAAGGCACACGTTGAAGCAAATATTGCTCGTATCACAAGGTCGTCGACCGCTCCCATAAATGCCTCATTAGACGCTGAAAAAAATGCACAAGTGAGAGTTAACAGAGAAATTGTCAAGCAATTATTTGATATAACACTTTACCTTGCTCGCCACAACATGGCCTTTCGCGGGCACAGAGAGAACTGGAACAGGGAAGGATTAAAAGGCAACTACAGGGATTTAATCGAGCTGCTGTCAAAATACTCTCCTGAGTTAGCAAAATACGTTAAGAAGATTGCTGTGGACAAAAAAGACAAGTTTAACTACATTTCCTGGCAGCGTCAAAATCAAATGATGGATGCCTTATGTAAATGCATCACAAGTGAAATTTTAGGTGAAATTAAAGATGCAAAATTTTTTAGTGTCCAAATGGATGGAGCCTTTGATAAAAGTAAGCATGAACAGTTAGCATTTTCTGTGCGTTATGCTGATGTACGCACGGGGACAGTGCATGAAAGGCTTCTTGCTGTGCGACCTACTCCTTCAAGTACAGGTGCCCAACGTTTCAAAGTATTTGTTGAGGTCTGTGAAGCCTTGGGTCTAGACTGGCGACGATTTCTCGTCGGACAGGCCTATGATGGGGCATTGAACATGAGAGGCCATGAGAAAGGACTGCAACAGAGAGTTCGAGACGTGAATCCCGCTGCACTGTACATCTGGTGCCACGCTCATCGGCTGAATCTTGTTGTGTCCCAACGAGTCGAAACTGGCACTCAGGTGAAAGAACTTTTCGGAAATTTAGAGAAAGTGTACGACTTCATAGGCAATTGCAAAACCAGAGTTCATCTGTTTGAGAAGATCCAGAAGGAAAAAAGCCCCGACTTACCAGTGAGACGCCTGAAGAGATGTCGCACGACACGGTGGTTTTCGCATTCTGCTGCATTAGACACAGTGTGGAACACTTACGATTCTTTGCTGGACACGTTGGCAACTCTTCGTGACGAAGATGGCGCTGCCGACAGCACGGGACGAGCAACAGCAAGTAGCCTGTATGAATACTTCTTCTCGGAAAAGTTTGTCCTACATGGCTTAATTTTCCAGGATGTTTTCAGAATTCTCCAGCCTGTAAATACTTACTTTCAGAAAAGGGACATCGACTTGCTTGGTGCTTCTAATGAAGTACGCAGAGTTAAAGATGAATTCTCCGACTGGCGCAGTAACTCGGACGAGTTGTGGCATAAGTACAGAAGCAAGCTTACAGAATTTGCTAGCCAACATGAGCGTGATGGTTATGAGCTTACCCCACTTCCAGTGCGTCGTCTTCGGCGCAAGCGCAGGCTGGATGGCGAGTTGGCATCAGATGAACCTGTTGAGGACCCTTATGAGAAATTCAGAATAGATTGCTTTGTCACTACCCTAGACGTTGTTTCTATGCAGTTAAATGTGTACTTCAATGATTCGTCTCTTGAAATAATCAGGGATATTTCATTATTGTCAAGGCGACGAATGGCTGAAGTGAGGCAAAACTCTGAATCTCTTCCTGCGGATGCTTTTGAAGAGCTTTGCGAAGTTTACAAGAATTTTTTGGACAGAGAGAAGCTCATTGATGAATACAAAAGATTTTGTCATTCATTTGTGGAATTCGATCGGGTTGACGTCCTACCTACTCAGCTCCATAGATGCACCACACCGCAATCCGGGTCGGATGCTGATTCTGAATCCAGTGATAGCGAGTGCAACACTGACTGCCAATCTTCATCATCATCCAGAAAGTCCCAAAACTCAGAGAGTCTTTTAGACATTTTCAAGATCTTTTGTAAAAGTAACTTGCACAGTACTTTTCCCACGCTGTCAACTGCTCTGACGATCTGCGTTACTCTACCAGTGTCGAGCACAACCCCAGAGAGGGCTTTCTCTAAACTGAACCTCATTAAAACGAAGTTAAGAACAACAATGGAAGATGGCCGTCTCGAG